GAGCGATGAGAGGGGGGAGGGGGTGTGTGGAGCGGAGCGGGGAGAGGGCGAGAAGAAGAAGATCAGAGGAGACGAACGAGAGGGAGTGCTTGCGCGCGCAGGTGGCGCGATACCGGTGCGTCAGAATCAGTGGTCGTCAGTCGTCGCCGTCTCGCCCGGGAGAGGGAAAGAAAAAGAGAGAAAGAGAGAAGAATTTTGTAGCTTAGAGTGAAATAGAATATCTGCGCAAGAGGAAGAAAGTATAACGGGCTGGTATAGGAAGCGCGAAAGATAGAGCGAAAAGAGGGAGCGAGAGATATACAACGAGGGACACGGAGGTGCTTGCACACGGGGCGGGCCTGCCAGTCTCAACCACTTCGTGGAGTGCACTTTTTATTCTGTACTCGAGCACGCAGCCACTCTGAATTGTTAGCTGTTTGCATATACATGATTGAAGATCTGTGACTTGCCCGATGCATGGTAGAGGCTGTTGGACCGCGTGGTCTTACCAGATTTTATCGATAATCAGTCAGTACATCGTGTGTGAGGATTGTTGTTGTTGTTGTTGTTGATCGATCCTTCCGGCTTGCCGGCTGTCAAAGTCATCGGTTTCGAAAGACAAGAAAAAGGAATCGTGACACAAAACAACAGCGAACCTTAGAGATCGTATTCGAAATATCTCGGTGTCAGTGTTGGTAGTGTTTGAGAGAGTGGTGGTGGTGGAAAAGACGAAGGAGAAACCGGGTGTGCAACGAAAGAGGGTTGTTATGGGGCGAAGCTGTCGTCTGCTTGTACTTTCGCCGCTGTATTTGCTGACTATATTCGGCTTTCTCGCAGCGGCTGATGCTTTCTCCACTGACAGTAAGTTTCATTTCTCGATCTCTGTCAATCGAACAGTGGGGAATAAGTAAAAATATGGATAGGAACGTTTTCCCATTGAAATTGTATGTAAGTTGCACGATATTGTTGATTGACAAAATACGTATGGTATGTGCCATGCGCTAATGTCGCGCTTACATAATCGACGTTTTTCGCATACATTTTCAATGAAAACTTATAAATTAGCGGACGTAGGACGCGAGAAAGGAGGACAGTCGTCGATATGAAAAATATATCTGACGTATAACTCGGTATCTACGATCTTTGTGAAAGGGATGCTGGTGGTGTGACCAGTAGTGAGTAGTTGGTCTGAAAATGGGGGAAGACCGCGATAGATGGAAGCACGTGAAGATTTTATCCCACGTTACCACGCTATGTTTCTCATTTAGCATTTAGGGCAAATTGTTTACTTTTCTTCTTTTTTCTGTTTATAGGTGGCACAAAGAGGTTCTTAGTAGTAATTAAATCTAATAAATAGTAGAGCGTTCGTTCTTTTTAGAATAACATTCTTTTCGTAAGTTTTTCAGAACTGTGGAAACTGATCTTTTTTATACTTTTCAAACGATTCTTGGAGGATTTGGAGGATCAAATATATAACTGATATTTGTCAAAAAATTGATAAAGAGAAATATTGACCTTTATCTGAATTAATTTTCTATATTTTCAATAGTTTTGTGCAAGATATAACAACTAACGCTTAGAATAAGATTAACAAAGGATAGAATGCAATGAATTCCCTTCGTAAATTAAGTGTTAAATTTCAAAATAATTGGTATGACAGATTCGTGCGTACGATGACAATTAAAATAACGGCTATCCACGAAATAAGAGTAAAACGAGGGCTGGGGAAACAGTTGATCGTCGATTTGTTCGATTTGTACATATATTGTATTTTCACCTCGTTTCTTTCTCTTTTTCTTTTGTATTATAGCGTTATTCAATAATTCAATAATTTCTTCAAAGGAATAATTGATCGGTATAAAATAAGCAAAAAAGATTGACAGTAAAATTATTATCGATACTGGGAAATGTGCACGAACGAGAATACAAAGGAAACGAGACGAACTCATGCCTCGATATAACAAACGAATATTGTTATTAAATTTTAATAATGCGTACAGAGAAACGAGATTAAATTATTGCAAGCATTTTCGTCGTAAAGGCATTATACAAATTCGAGCTATTTTTGTTTTTTATTCATTATTTTCTCTTTGAATATCGTCAGTTTTTAAGCAAGCAATAAAACGTGTTCTCTATCTGACAAACGAAAAACGTATTTTATCATTTTATTGTCAACGTCACCGTCGAGTTGAATTTTTGTTTTAATCGGGAAACAATTACTTTTACGCGCTTAACATCATAGAGATTGTCACTTTAAGTGGTCGCATTTGTTTCGGTTTTCGTTGAAAAACGTTATATACATATATATATCATATATATATATATATAAATATCATATAAAAAACATATATGCATATATAAAACATATAACAAACATATATAAAAAACATATACATATATATATATATGTTTCTTTTTTATATGATATTTTTCACGAAAGTATGTAATTTTAATAAAACTGTGAAATATATACACATTAGAGATATTTAGATGGCGCTTTTGAACATGTATCGAAATACATGGTGGACACGTGGTACGTGAAACGCGCATCAACGAATTAAAGATCAATGGTTAATTGTGCTTGCTCGTGATGCTCAATTGCATATACACATTAATAATGATATAAAATAGTATGTGATCGAGTATTTTTCAATTATCGGTAAGTTTTCTATTTTCATATTCAAGTCTTTCATTCGTGATCGCTTATACTCTACTCTATCGATACTCTATTCGTACATGCGATATAATATCTCTGAGAGACGATGCCGAATCGTTGAAACATCATCGTCACAGCTGGTACAGGTCGTACATATCAAAGCCGTTTTACCCAATAATTTGCCGATTAATAATATCAGTAAATTTACAAGAGTTAGAAATAATAGATTATACGATAGACTTGCGTTGTATGGTTTTATAATTTTCTTGGTCAAATACGATAATCGGGCAACTCGTAATTTGTAACATTTCATATTCTTTATTATCAGATTCGTTACTGTTGCTATTACGCAAAAGCGTTTATTAATATCGGTGACTTGCGATATACGAGCCGTAAAATTCCAATAATAATAACATTAACTCGATTCTATGAAGCGAGCGAGAAATTTATTAGATTTGTTTCGCTCAAATTTATCGTAAATAATTTGGCAAAGGTTTAAGAGAATTTACGAGGAAGATATTATTTACATGGCTATTATTTATTTCGCAAATATTCGTAAGTTAGTATCGTTCAGCTAGCGAAAATTACACGCAACTACCGACAATAGTTTTGGAATAATAACAAGGGAACACGATAATGCGAACAATAATCGGGACGGCAGCAATAACGCCGATACTCTAATTTATCGTCATTACGTATTAAATGTTTTATCGCGTAGATCGCGTTTGATATTTTATTAATTAGCCCAAGTGTCAACCTTTAATCATCGTGTATTTAAGCTTAATAACATTTTAATAATAATCCAGTACAACACGATATCGTTACTTTTGTCACGATCGAACTGAAATAATACGAATTTTCCGCCAAGTGTTCCGATCGGTTACACGGTTGTAAAGCAAAATTGGAAACGTTCACGAGTTATTATCGGACAAAGTTTAGCGTAATATTTCGATGAATCGATTAGCCGAAAATCGAAAGTAATTCTCGCGCAATTTGCCAAGCAAAGCCCAACAAATTCCTCCCTTATGATCTTTTTACCTTTTAAAAGATCGATTTATCCATTGTATTTGAAGATTACAGTACGAAAGTACGCGACAAGCTTTTCCTGATTTTACAGAAGAGCAGTTTTTTTTCATTCGATATCATTCGATAATCGAGCGAATGTTGCGTTATTGAAATCGTCTTTCAATTTGCTTTTGAGCTACTCGATAACTTTCGAGTTATCGTTAAATATCGTTCAAATATTGCTTCTCATCCTATCTTTCTAAGGTATTTTAAGGATCTGCTTTGTATTTTCAACTGTGCGGTGTTAAATAAAACGTTTAACCAGAAAGTGACGTGAAAATGAAAAAGTCAATGAAACTTTACTTATCAGGCTTCTTCTCCTGTAATCTTCATTTATGAGAGAGAGAGAGAGAGAGAGAGAGACAGAGTAAATCGATGCATACGAAAAGAAAGCAGTATGTGACATGGTATACCGATCGCGAGTACATGAAATTGTAAGAAAAGTACAGTGTATAACGCGAACGTCACGCGTTTCTAATCTCTTTCTTTCTTTACTCGCATGTTTTTTTCTCCCGATTTGCATGTTCCACGAAACATTGGCATTTCATTTTTCCCATCTTTATTTTGCTTCAGGCAGGCCTTGTCCTTTAAAGCAATTTCAATGCACGAATGGTAAATGTATACCAAGGCCGTGGGTCTGCGACTCAATGGACGATTGCGGTGACAATTCCGACGAAACCAGCAAATGCGAAGGTGAGCGATATGGAAAAAAAAAAAAAAAGAAAAAAGAAAAAGGACTCGCTCGTACGTCCTACTCTTTCATATTTTATTCGGTATAAAAGTGGTGTGCGATAAAGAACGATTGGTTCTATCGATACCTGATCGTAATCGTGCATGTCCGATTCTCCGATCGGTAGATTAACGCGAATTTGAAATCAATCGACACCACTTTACCAATACGAAGTGTTGTTTGCAGCAATAAGGAGTCAGCTGCGACGTTTAAATCGTATTTATCGAAAGAGAAAGGAAAACGTAGGTTTCATATTGAAAAGTGCGAAAGCGTATCACTGTATTAATCTATTAATCAATTAATCTATTAATCTATTAATCTATTAATCTATTAATCTATTAATCTATTGATCACGAGTATTAGTTGGCTCGTGAATTTACAGCAGTTTCGAAAAAGCGATGCATCTTCGGTTGGTTTCGTTTTCGTGGCAACCGCTTCCTACTTCGATCTGATATTTATTCGCTCGATTCCTTGTATTTCTGCAAATAATTCCTACGCTTGTGTTTATCGGCTGTTAAGTAGCGGAATTCAAATAATTCGAACAGACACGCGCAAAATACTCGACTCCAAGTATCATTTTCAAGTTTCGAGAAAAGTCGCGGTTCTTGAATCGAAAGGGACAACGCTGGAGTAGGTCGATTTTTTCTGAACTCTGTGTTCAAATCGTCAAGCTTTTCTAGAAACAATCGTCGAACGTGTCTACGGAAGCTTTTCGTATTCTGCAACGATTTTTACGTATCGTACTTTATCGTTCTCGAGAGTCTCGGATGCACCAAGAGAATTTCACGGAATTCGAGCGGTTCGATTTAAAGCGATTTGACTAACGAGAAGAAGAAGGATATAAACTTGGAAAGGTATTTGAAATCGAGTAAATAACAGGTTCGAACATCGGAGCGACGAATATTTCGTTGTTCCGTTCGTAATGGAGGATCGTATGAGATCGGAAATGATTTAACGCGTAAACAGAGAAACAGAAAAACAGGAAAACAGGAAATAGCGTAGAAAAGAGCGGAGGAAAAACGACTGAAAAATTTCGCGTAAATCTTTATTAAAAATTGTCCGTGTCCCTGGTCGATCAACGAAACTCGGTTTTCCGTCGAGTGGCACGTAGAAAATCGACGAAGAGACAAACTCGGTCGTTTCGTTGTATCGTAAATCCTTCGATCGAGAGTTCGCAGGACGAAATGTCTTGGAAAGACATATTTTGTAGTTTTACCTGTGACGATATACCTGTATGTTTTACAATGTGCTTCTGGTCCGAAAAGGAAGGAAAATGTTAATTAACGATAGACGGTTGTCAATGACAAACCCGTGTACTAAATAAAAGATCTAACCGTATCTGTCGCGTCTTCTTCTTGCGATTGAATGCAACACGAGTACACGCGTGTGCGTTTGTTAAAGCAACTATCTCGTTGGGAAACAAGACGTGTACAGCGTTGTTTACTTTCTTAAACGTACGTAGTTAATACGTCGCAGCAGATCGTACAATAGTACATATATATGTACGCGTTTGGGGCTAGGTAACGCGAAACTACGTTTGAAGCAACGTTGAACGTAGCGCTTTTTCTCCGTAAACTACGAGATGGTGGCGAGGGATCGATCACTCGGATCGTTTCACGCAACTTGTCTATCGTGCTTTCGATAGTTTGGAAAAACGTGGCTTAAATCAACTTGGAGCAACGAAAAATCGATGCTTGTATAAAAAGAAACGTAGCTAGATGGAATGTCTGAAACGTTTGAAATCATCGAATCGAAGTTACATTGAAATTTTTAATTGAATTTTGATTTATACATTTCTGGAATTATTTATGTAACGCGCATTGGCTCTAATATCGCGAGTATCCTATTACTGCCGTAACGCGTAGTGGCAAATAACAGATTTCCAATTTCACGTTGCGCGTTATGGCTGAAATTGTTAGAGAAATTTTATCTCAAAGAAGATCAAATTGTTTTGCCGTAGACGCCGTACAATTTCTCCGCGATAAAATCTTTGTTTAAACATTTTTATGTCGATGTTCAAGTTGGTGTATAGAACATTGAAAAGGTACAGGAAAAAGTCAAAGACAGACTTTAGGCAATTTTTTAGTAATAAAATTTAGACCGTTGTTAAATCGAATCGACCGCGTTACTTTGATAAATTCATTTTATCTTAGCTCTCTCGTGCTCGAGATCGAATCGAATTACAGCAATTAAAAGTACGCTTAATTTGTCGTTACAGTGACAATTTACGGGCTATTTCTATCGGGTTGGTGGCATAGAGACGCGAATATTTTATCGTGTTAAGATAAACGCTCGCAAATATGCAAAAGCACGTATCGCTGTTTACGATAAATTTAGATCGTCGTCTTTTTCGATCTCTCTCTTTTTCGACGATCGTTTAAGCGAAAGATGCGTTTTAATCTATTTTTTTTAGCACAAATGACAAGTTGTCGTTCTAATAAGTAGCAGAACGACGAGAGTTGTATCTTCTAGTTGAGATATCGTTTCTCGAACGTTTATGGATTCGAGCTGATGACAGTTTGATTTAACGAGGCAAACGGATCGCGCATAAAGGCGAGTGAAAATTTCGTTTTCAACGAGCTAGGAAAACCACAGATGGATTTAACAGAGCCGTTAAAAACGAAATATATATATATTAGAACGTATAATCGAACGAGATAATTAATTAAACGAAGGGATGATATCGTATCGTGGTAAGTTGAATTGTTTTTCAGAAAATCGACTACTTCTCGATTACTACTTTTTGTCGTGAACAAGATATTTTCATTGACGAAGAACGCGACGCAGACAGAGACAGAGACAGACGGAAATAAAATTATCGGTACATAGCTGTTTCCCTTCTATCGTAAGTACGCGATCCTCCGTACAAGTTGTTTTTGTAAAATATAGAAAACGGAAAAGGGATTTGAAAGAGACGCGATATCGATTTTATCGTTTATTATAAAATAGTTATTCCGAATAACTGTATCGCAAGGAATCGAAATCTTTGATTCTATCTGTTTCGATTACATATCGGCTTTTATTATATTTATATCGGTTTTAAAGGCAATGTTTTTTGTTTGCTCTACATCGGTCGCGAAACGGTTCTACGATCGATTCTTCTATCGATTTTACGGTATAAACGAAATCTTACGTTTCGATGACGATACCTCCTGTACTTTTTATCGTTTCTCTCTGTCACGTTATATCGTCGTAAACCGATTTTTCATCGAGATTCTACGTTTTCAATTATACCGTGAAAAGTATGAATTTGCATAAAAATTCGCGATCCGATTAAGTCCTAATGATATCGTATTTAACTCGTCTCGTTATATCGAAATTTGTATAAATCTATATCGGTCGTATCCTTTCTCGATTATCTCGTATTGAAACGATCCTCGTTAGCCAGCGAGTGACATAAAAGTCAGAAAATCAACGAAAACGTATTTATCATATTCTCTCTCTCTCTCTCTCTCTCTCTCTCTCTCTCTCTCTCTCTCTCTCTCTCTCTCTCTCTCTCTCTCTCTCTCTCTCTCTCTCTCTCTCTCTCTCTCTCTCTCTCTCTCTCTCTCTCTCTCTCTCTCTCTCTCTCTCTCTCTCTCTCTCTCTCTCTCTCTCTCTCTCTCTCTCTCTCTCTCTCTCTCTCTCTCTCTCTCTCTCTCTCTCTCTCTCTCTCTCTCTCTCTCTCTCTCTCTCTCTCTCTCTCTCTCTCTCTCTCTCTCTCTCTCTCTCTCTCTCTCTCTCTCTCTCTCTCTCTCTCTCTCTCTCTCTCTCTCTCTCTCTCTCTCTCTCTCTCTCTCTCTCTCTCTCTCTCTCTCTCTCTCTCTCTCTCTCTCTCTCTCTCTCTCTCTCTCTCTCTCTCTCTCTCTCTCTATGCTCTCCGCGAATAACGCAAAAGAAGAAAAAAAAAAGAAAAAAATCGCTTGGCATTTCGAATAACCACCGTTATTTGCAAAATGTTTCATCGAGACCAATGCAGATTTATTTATTAATTTGCGCGAATTTCACCATTAACAGTCGGTTGTATACCCAGCGACGGTATAATTGTCGAGTTTATGGTTCAGGAAATCGTACGAGCATTACGCGACGATAATACGGCAACTGACGTTGATTTTATGCAACTTGACGGACGAATTACGGGGGAACGGTTACGATCTAAAGGAACAGAGAAGAAACGGGATATCGATCGACACGATAATCGCGATAATTTGACGAATACGTGATTACGGTTTTGCGTGGAATTCCATAAGAATACGAGCGATAGAAAAAGTCGACGTCCTTGTCGGCCCTATGCTTTTCTTCGTACCGATACATAGGAATCGGCGAGACGTAGGTTCTCGGTGATCTTGCATCAGACAGGTTAAGCGTTTCTAATGTACTTTTTTCCCTAGTCTCGCCGGGGGGCTGCCGAGTCTCCACAGAGGCATCGCTCTGGCGTTTTAGAACGGCCATCGTAAACACTCCGTAGGAACGCGTCGCGGAGATTTCTCTCGAATGACCATGTTAGAAGCGAAGTCGGTTAGAAACGAATCGTAAGAATGAGCGGCCGCGAGTGCGGAAAAACTTGAAATATTATTTCGCTTCCACGTTCTAATTAAATTATAGGCAGAGAAACACGATGAATTACATCCCTTTGTTTTTTTACAAAAAGCTAGTTGCAAGATTTAGTAGGTTGTGGATCGATCCTACGCCACGGAAATCATCTATATTTATCGTAGGTTCGCAGCTAAACGCGTCGTCTTCGTCGTCTTCGTCGTCTCCTCAAAAATCTTGCTTTTCCTATTATACGATATTGTCGCGTCGCAGACACGAGAAATCGCGAAACCGATAGATCGCCGGTGATCTCGCGTCGCAGTTCGAACGTTTCACGAGTAAGGCGAAGAAATTGAATCCTATAAATTCAACGGAGCAACGGTTCAAAGTGTTACATATACGGCGCTGTTACATATATTCGAGCGCTAATTTACCAGGGTTTTTATATCGA